CCCCCCCCCCCCCCCCCCCCGGCTGCGGGCCTGACAGAAGGATATCTCAAATTTCTCTTTTATGAATGAAGAGTTCCTTCTGATTTTATGGGCTTTCAATTACTCCATATTACAAAGGACTGTCCAGTTCAAAAGACAATAACTTAGAAACATTTACGTACAAATTTTTGTAGCGATCGGTTGATAAGATAGGAGGATGTACTTGAAACTGATTAGTTAACGTGTTTTGTCAACCTTGAAAGATGTAAACGCAGCGATGAACTTTAGCGCCAGCGGACAGGTTAATAAACAATTCATCAATAGATTACTTAACATGACTTACTAGAAAAGAAGTGAAGTGGTTGCTCTGCTTGGTAACTCTTAGCATATCCCTTAAAATGTCAGTGTATGGTCCCACTGTTGTGAGAAGTGACTCGGCAGTGGGACTGAACATGGCACAATATTTATATCTGTGTAACTTATTTACTTATCTGTCTTATGTAATTGTCATTAATCGTAATTATCAATGTCATCAAACAGCCATGTAAACAGCTATGTAACGGTGGTTTTAAGTTCTTTAAAAACATATTTTTTTTGTGTAACGTGTTTATAGTATGTTTATGGTAAATTTATAATCACACCAAGGTTTATCTCATTGCTTAGACAGAATATTTTATGAGTAATTTTACTAGTACTTATCTTCATTATATAAAGATGGTAATGCACTAACTGTAATGTATCGTCATTTGTATATCATATTGTACAAGGTCATGACAATCTATGTACCAGTACAGAAATAAATTGAATTGAATTGAATTGACTTACTAGTACATGTAGCATACCGCTTTATCTGCCATCATTCCAATAACGAAATTATCTTATGCAACGTTAGATACAATCTTGGTTATCATAAACACAGAAAACCTCACACACATAGACTTGCCCCTCTCTTCCCCCAATAACACCTTCTCCCCTCTGTCTCAACAATCTCGATTGTATATTCTAATGCTTTTATACATGTACCTTATATAATATTATCTAGTGTTCGTAAACACCATTTTAGAATTAAAATCCCGGTTGAGTGTCCTCATGGGCCCACTTGATACAATAGATAGTACGTGATCAGTGTTGACACGGCTCCTTGTCCTCTTTTTTTCTTTATCTTACACCACGTCAAAACAAGCAAAGGCAAAACAAACCAACTAACAAAGTGAGTTATGTCTGCGTGCGGACTCGCATTGGTACACGTACTACAGCCACTTGGACAACAGTAGATTTACGCAAAAATGGGCAGTAAACAGCGTTTTAACTTCACAATTCAGGTTGACGATGTGGATAAGGGAACGAGCGAATGTGTGGTGTTACAAATTCATTATCACAAACAGCAACTTTGGAAAAGAAAGGTAGGCTAGCTAGTATAGGTTCACAAGGAACTTACTAACTCACTTCCTATACCCCCCACCCCCCCCCCCCCGCAGACGCAGACACGTACACAGATAACGTTCTGCGGTTCTAGCAAACTGCCATTCCTGTCAAACTCCCCCCCCCCAAAAAAAAAATAAATAAATAAATAAAATATGTTTAAAAAATATCTAAATTGCAATTACATTTGTCCTTTTCAGGCGAAACAATTTATTCTTAATGTGAAAAAAGGAGCCAGAATCGTTTTAGGAGCCAAGGAGGGCGCATCGCAATCTCTTGGATGCCCTGAGCATCAAGAACCTCCCGAACTTCCTGAGGCCTCTAAACATTCTGAACCTCCTGAAACACTTGGGCATTCTGAACATCCTGCACTTCCTGAGACCCTT